TGCTGACGATCAGTTTGTTCTAATGATTGCGTAGAGATGGATGCAGTTTCCTTACCTGATTTCTTCCTCTCCTTTCTTTATGCCAGGAATCTCTAACGAAGCCCAGTTTGTGTTTACACTTCAGAGTATTGTTATGGCTCAGAAGTTAAAAGGAACGCTGTCCTTTATAGTCAAAGTAAGTGCAGCTTTAAACTCTGTGCTTCTGCTTCCTTTGGAACTGCACAGGGGAGCTTGACTGGGGTGGAAAGCACTGCTTTAGAGCTTCTCTGAGGCATCATTTCATCTCTGCTGCACCAGCCCATTCTGTGATGTGAGAAGTATTTTTATGTGACATCTCGAGCAACGAGTGCCCCGAGTGCTGCATAAAGCATGTCCTGAATTGTCATTCCTGGCAGCGTGAGCAATGCAGCCTGAGACATTTACTGCACTGTCAGATAGGAAGTGATGCATCTGCTGGGGAGAGGAGGGCGGCCAGTTACAGGAGAGGCAACCCAGCGTGTGCTCTGCTGTCAGTTGGATTTGTTAGCTGGCACAAGGCTGAAAAAATAGTAATGAGATAACGTTAATAAGGTGTCATTCAGCCAGACACAACTGGAAAATAGAGCTGGGTCTGTTCAGCTGTGTTCCTTACCTGCTCTGGGTGTGTATATTGACTCAGCTGCCCAAATCTGGTCCCGATGGCCACCCGATCAGGCCCACCCAGCTTTTATCAAGGGGAGCTGAGCCTTAAAGCCTCATCTGTGCCCCATTGGAGGTGGGGGTGGTGCCTCCTCTTGCTGCCTCGGGGCTCCCATTCATCTCCTTTCCTTTGACCTGTTGCAGAATGATGAAGGTTCAACCCATGAAAAACTAGATTTCAAATTGCACTTCAGTTGCGCTTCATACTTGATCACGACGCCTTGCTATAGGTAAGTGCCACTTAGGGGCACCTCCCAGCACGGTGCTTCTGCTGCCATGTGGAGCTGAGCTTTGGCTGCAGGACACAGCATGGTTTTGATTCTGGCTGCTCCTGATTGGTTTGGTGACAGTTCTGTCGTCTCTTGTAATGCCTGACTGCTGAAACGCATCCACTGATGTGCTGCAGGTGGTTCTGAAGGGGTTGTGTGCCATGCAGGCTGTGTGGCAGCAGCTCTCGTTGATGCTGTAGGGTGCTCTGATGGTCTGAGGAATGGTTCCCACGCTCCCTGAGAGCTCAGCAATGTGCAGCCATCTGCATCCTGACGTGTCTTAGGGTCTGCATGGGGCTGACGTGGCAGATCTCGCTCAGCTTTGTGGCCCAGGATCTGACTTTCCTTCCTGTATTGCAGTGATGCTTTTGCCAAGCTCCTGGAGTCTGGAGATCTGCACATGAGTTCTATTAAAGTAGATGGAATTAGCATTTCTTTCCAACATCTCCTGGCAAAGATCTGTTTTCATCATCATTTTTCAGGTGGGTTTTTTGCAGCAAAATTCCGTCTTTTGATATCCTGCTGCGTTTGGTGAGTGTGAATGAATAGCAGAACTGGTTGAGTTCTGCAATGCTTTTGTATCCTTAAAATAAGCTCTGCTTGGCTCTCTGGCCCTTCTAGCAGAAGTTTCTGTTCCTTGAGGCCAGGCAGCAGCAGCTCCATTCCACTGAAAGCAAACTGTGTTAAAGGAGCGCTCCCTGAGTGCCAACTCTGCTTCCTTTGCAGTTGTGGAACGTGTTGATTCCTGTGCATCCATGTACAGCCGTTCTATCCAAGGCCATCACGTCTGCCTGCTGGTAAAAAAGGTGAGTGTGTCATCACGCTCTGAAACGGGACCTGAGTGGCTTTCTCATCTCAGTGGGAAGAGGGAAATTGTTGGTGCTGAAATGGTGATGGGGGGGCGGCAGTGGATACCAACAGAACTGAGCCTCGACTGATGGATCTTTTCTTCCTCTTGAAGGGAGAGAACTCTGTATCCATAGATGGGAAATGCAGCGATCCCACCCTGCTTAGCAACTTGTTGGATGAGATGAAAGAGACATTGTCCAAGTGCTGAACGTTCAGACAAATTCCCCGACTATGAGAAACACCTGATGTGTAACGACAAGCAGACCCAAGTGTTAAGGTTCCTCCCTCGTACGCATGTACTATCCTGGGGCACGTGCTTTTCAGTTACCTCCACCATCATTTGCAGTTTAAACATTTTAAGGCTGTATGTTACCTTTTCATTTTGAGACTTTTTACAAACTGTGGTGTTAACCCTTTCTAGCCCAAAGATCCCGGTGACGTGACTGGAGGGGGGGAGGGAGGGGTGCTATTTATTCAGCAGCTCACGGTGATGCTGTGACCATTTCCATCTGATGGGGCACTGAGCAGAACTCAGCACTCAGTGCTGCTGTGCTTATTACCAGGAGGGGCTGGCTGTGCTCAGCTGCAGTGTGTCTTCAGGGCTGCTGTGGGTGATGTATATTTCTAGCGGAGGCTGATGCTGGACCTGACAGCCTCTTTTTTGTTGTTTTTTTTTTCTTAAATGTGATGATGAGGGTTATTATTATTATTATTTTCTCAAGATCTGTTGAGATCAGCTCATAAACATCCTCTGCCTCTGAGCTGTGTGAGATGGGGATGTTGGTGGGTTCCTGTTGGTGGTTGTTGCCGTGAGCCTTAACCTTGTGGGGGGTGGGGGTGGGATGCAGTGCTGCTGCTGTCTGCCCCCACTGCTGTCCCTGCAGATGGAGGCTGTCACTGCTCCATCTGAGCTCTCTGCTGATGTATTCCGAGTCCACTTCAATTTCACATTCCTGACAAGTTACGCTGTAGCAAGAAACTGGAAATCCAGAGGGGTTTTTTCCTGCTTTTCTGTCACCATCTCCCTCCCAGAGGCTGACCAACACCGGCGTGCAGAAACGGCCTCGTGTGACTGCAGCTCCTCTGCGCAGCCCTCAGCCCAGCGCTGCTCCCCAGCAGTGACGGCGCTGTGCCAGGGGGGATGAGGGGATCTGGGGAGGAAATCAAACCCCTTCTACACTAAACCTCGTGGCATCACAGACTGGGAAGGGCTGTTTTCTGTCCTTTACAGATGTGCTTAACTGATGTCCCCCAGAGTATCGTGCTTTTTTTTCCCCAGTTGTTGTGATTGCTGTTCCATACGCAGCAAACAGAAAGGTTTTGCTTTGAGGCGTGGGCTGAGATCCATCGATTGCTGTTCCCAGAACTCCCCCAGGGAGGAGCTGAGCTGCTGCCCTTCCAGCAGGGAACAGCACGAAGCATCACCTCCTCCCTGGGGCCAACGTTGTGTACATTAAATGTGCGCTGCCCTCCTCACGCTTCACTCCTCCCATGTCAGTGTTTGTGGACAGGCTGTGGCTGTGCTGCAGGAGCAGCTCTGTGCAGGTCCTGGTCTTGCTCAGCCCCTGCTGAGGCTGGGAGCTCCTGTGTTACAGACTGAGCGGATCCCACGTGTCTGCCAGGGTGGTGTTCCTCAATTCGTGTTTTTTTTAATTCATGGATGAAAGCTGTCACTTTAGCATGTAGAGTCTCCTCTTACAGAATCCCGTGCAGTGATTCTAGAACTTTGAACCTGTATGACGTGTTACATTCACAAATTTATTTGCTATCAACATTCCCTTTAAAAAAAAAAAAGAAAAAGAGAACATACCACAAGCTGCTGTAATGATTTTGTGTCGAGATGATCCAATAAACTTTCAAAACAAAGTTCAATTTTTTGGCTTTGTTTAAGCAGTGGTTCTCAAAGAGCCTCTCAGCTCCTGGGGGCTGCAGGAATGGTTTGTCAGTGAGAAATCACCTGTTGCTGTAATACAGGCACATCTCATGGGAGGGCTGAGCGCTGTGTGCCACCAGTGCTGTGTGTGGAGGATCCGAGGGCTCTGCAGAGGTGAGAAATCCTTTCTGCCCCAGCAGCTGGGAGCTGCCAGCTCTGCGTGGAGAAAATCCCGCTGCCTTTGCAGAGCTGCTGGCCCGGTTACCTGCGCTGCAACCAGAAGCATGGGCTCATTTGTTTCCTGCAGGGTGGCTGCGCTGTGGGCCCGCATTGTCCATCAGGGGGAAAACGGCGATCTGTGCGTGGGGGAGGGGGGCAAAAAAAGCCTCGGGGCGAACATCGGCCGCACGCAGTGAGCAGCAGGGCCTGAACCGCGCGGCGCATCGCTGCCTCGCAGCAGCACGGCGGGCTGTGCTGACATCGTGCTGACATCGTGCCGCCATCCATCGAGCAGCTGAGCAGAAAATCGGCCCTCACTGCTGCAGCTCGTGCGAACCGCGCAGCGAGAGCTGCGTGCCTGGAGCTGCGCCTCCTTCCAGCGGGGCTCCGCTCCGTGCGGCGGAACGAGGAGCTGAGCGGCGGCACCGCGGAGCACGAAGAAACGCCGGAGATCCCGCGGGCGGCCGGAGCCGTGACTCAGCTGCAGGATGTGATTACCGCGCTGTGTCAACGCTTCGTTCCGTCTCTAATTTAATCCATTAGGGTTTCTAAGAATAACCGGCTTTTACTAATTACAAAGGGGAGCGGGCTGATCCGTACCGGCGGAGCTCCGGGCGGGGCCGGGAGGAGCTGGGAAAGGCCAATGGGGGGAGGGGGGGTGGAACGGCACCGAGGAGCCGCGCTGCCCTCGGTTTCCCCACCGGGACCCGCATCCACCTGCACGGCGCTCCCACCCACCGGCCGTCCGCCCCGACGCCTCCTAAGCCTCGGGCGCGGTTTGGGTCCGTGACCGCTGTGGGGTTTAAGGGGGGGTTTGGAGTCGCGGGCAGTGGGGGTGCGTGGGGGGTTGGACGCGGGGGTTTCGGTGGGTTTTTCCAATCGGAACGATCCTGCGATTTCACTGAGGTTTGGGGGCGGTTTCCTGCCGGAGGGGTCGCGCCCCACGCGCTGGCCGTAAAGAAGGAAATAAAACAGAATAAATTGAGCTACGCGAGGCCTTCCCGAGCACGTCGGACTGTGACCCCCCGGGGTTCCGCCCCGCCCCACGAGCAGCGGCGTTCGCGGCGCAGCGCGGCCCCTTTAAGAGGAAGAAGCGCAGCGCGGGGCGCGGCCCCTTTAAGAGGAAGTAGCGCCGGCCGAGCGCCGCGGAGGGGGAGGGGCGCGCGGGGCTGCGCTGCGGCCGCACGAGGGGCAGAGCAGCGGGTGAGGGGCGGGGGTCCGGGGGGGAAATGGGGGCTGGGGGCGGAACCGGGCGGCTCTG